GACAGTCACTCACACCTGTGTGTCTCACCTGTCAGTCTGTCCTCAGGCTGTCTCACTCTCAGCCTGGCTCCCCCCCTGCTGGACTGTACCAACCCCCTCTGACCCCCGCTCAGACGCCGTCAGGCTTCAGCCTGGACCGCACCATGTTCGACCTGCCGGGGGACGCCAGGTGAGTGTGTTTAACAGGTGTTTGCGATGTCACTGCTCAGTGGGAGGAGACAGGATGCTTCTCAGAGGTCAGCTGATTAGTTTTCAGCGTTTGGTTTGTTTGTGATTGATCAGGTTGATTGATTGACTGATGAACCCGGACTTTCACAATAAAAGTCCATCCTGTTTGAACTGCGTGCGTTTAGTTTGAGGTCTGAAACACTCCATCATAAAGTCTGTGGGTGCTTTCCGTTTTCGTGAGGTTACTCGCTGACAGACGTGACCTGTGATCTGTGTGGAGGCCACAGCTGTTCCAAACCCTAAAGGAAGGAACCTCGGTGCTTCCTTTATTGCTTCCTTTAGCGGAGGAGACACTGGAGCATCCTTTATGAGAGGGGAGGAGGGAACGCCGAATGGTAAACGGGCTGGTTTGTATATTGAGCTGCAGAAACGCACAGACCAGCTGGATGCGATCTTAGCTTGGTCATTCTCCACCACCGTAGGGGGCGTGTCCCATTTTGACCTTCCAGATAGTGCCAGTGGCTGTGGCTTGAACCAAGTTGAACCAAGACATAAAACTTTGCTCCCGTTCGTGTCGGAGATCCCGTGAGGGTTTTCTGACCACAGGCCTGTGATGTTTGTACCTCAGTGAAACCTCGCGCTGCTGCTGCTGCTGCTGTCGTCGCGTTTTTAACTCTGCTGAGCAGTTTTCAACAGTTTGTAGCCAGAACTGTAAAATCCCACAGTCTTTTATGCAGCCAGACTGAGGAGCTCATGGTTTTATTCCACCTGCCGGACTGCTTTGGACACAGCCCGTGTGTTTTCTTTGATGGAGATGTTTGACCTCAGACAGGGAGGAAGTCTGACCCCAAATACTAAACACACTGTCCAGACAGGAAGCACGTCTTTGGATTTTCAATCTAAAAGCTTCTGAAGTTTAACCTCCAGGAGGATAAACCCTGAATCGGGTCTAACGAAAGCTCACACAGATCATGCTGCACAGTAACCGCCCACATAGCTGCTGAGTGTCAGCTGACTGAGGGCCAAAACAGACCTGCTGTGTGTGTGTGTGTGTGTGTGTGTGTGTGTGTGTGTGTGTGTGTGTGCGTGTGGAGAACGCCTGGAAACCAACCACAGAAGTGTCAGCGATCAATATCAGTGATCAGGAATTAATTACTGATCAATACCAGTGAGTGATTACTGATTAGTTCCAGTAATGAGCAGGCAGTTGGTTGTTTCCATGGTCCCTCCGTCTGAATCAATGGGCCTCTGTCTGCGAGTGGGCGGGAGAAGAATGCTGCTGCTGCCTTGCCATTGGCTGAGACCGTGAGTGGGCAGGAGCTGGCAGGCAGCAGCCAATCAGAGAGCAGAGATGTGTGGGAGTGACAGAGAACATGAAGATCTGAAGTCTGGACGCACCTTAGTCTGAAGA